CTGCCGGCGCTGGGGCCCGCGCTGGACCTGGAGGCTCTGGAACGGGGCGATGCCGAGGCCCTGGCAGGTGAGCAGCACCTGAGCCCCGCTCCCCTCACCCCTGGGGGACCCCCCAAAACTCACCTGGCCCCCCGCAGCTGTCCCGGTGACGGTGGCGGGGCTCGGGCTGGCTGCGAGCGATGCTGAGGAGGACGGGGCAGCAGAAGCCATGGAGGACGACAGCGCTGACCTGGAGGTGGGAAGGGATTTGCTGAGGTGGGGGGGTTTTTTTTGGGGGGCAGTGGGTTAATAATTGACGCCCCCTCCCCAGCTCAGCACGATGACAGTGGAGCTCAAGCCCCGGGTGAAGTCGGGGGGCACTGGGGGGGATCCAGTGCCCCGAGCCCCCAGTCTGGAGGAGGTGGCTGCGCTCCCCCCTCTGCTCCAGGGCCAGGGGCTGCGGGCAGCCGGGAAAAGGAGGAAAAAACTGCAAAAAAGAGCAGGTGAGTGAAGTCACCCCCTTTTCCTGACCCCCCCTGAACCTCCCTGATCGCCTCCCCTCAAACTCCTGATCCCATCCCGCAGAGAAAATCGCCACGAAGCTGTCGGAGACACTGGAGGCAGCCATGCAGTTCTGAGGCTTTTATAAATTAAATCGCTGTATTTAAATGAGAAACAGTTCAATCTTTTCAGAAACAAAATAACTAAGGGAGCAGGGAGGGCTGTAGGGGTGGTCTGGGAGGTCTCTCAGGTAAGAGATTGAAATGTGGAGGTTTTTGGGGGTCCTTGTCCCTGGAAGGGTTTTGGGGGGGTCTCACTGCATCTTACAGCTGGGGGGGTGAGTGGGGATCACTAAAAACTTATCAGTTTTTACAGCTGATATAGAAAATGTAACGCTCAGCCACTTAGTGAACCTCAGAACTGGGGAGGGCTCAGCATTAGGGTTGCACCCCATTATTAAAGACACTCCACCTCCACAACCTCCCCAATTCCTGTAGCACCCAGTACCCCACTTTGACACTAAATGAACCCCCCCCAACCTTCCAGAGCACCCCAAAAGCCACCTCGGACACCCCAAAAGCCACCTCGGACACCCCAAAAGCCACCTCGGACACCCCACACACTCCCTGAGGTCCCACAGCTCCCCAAAACCCCCTCGGACCCTCCCAAAAAGCAGAGGGTGCCTCCCTAAGCCGTCACCCTTAGCCCTCACAGCACCCTCACCTGTATAGGCAGGGTGTGAAGGTTCCCCCGGGATTTTGGGGTGCCCCCAGTGCCGGGCTGGGGAGGGGGAACGCGGCCACCGAGCTCCCCTCGGCCTCCACCCACCATTCTGCCACCTTTTCCTCCGCCTGTGAGGAGCAGCAGCCACAGGTGGTGGTGAGGGCAGCACAGGTGTTTCAAATAACGGCTGATGAGGCGGAGGGAGGGGTGGAAGGGGCCGTCCCGCCTCGTTTTGGGCTGGTTCGTGGGGGTTTTTTTGCAGCGCTTGGCGCCATTTTGCCGCCGTGAGGGGAGGGGGGGGGCG